CATAGTTGTTGTTTGTTTGTTTTTTCTTCTTCTTTAAAAAAAAATCACCTTTTGTATCCAGTCGAGCCTTTTACCTGAAGAATCCCTGCAGAGTTTTATGCAGTTGGAAGTGAAACAGACATTTCCCCCAACAGTGTTTCAGAGGCTTTATTTTCCTTTTCTGCATAAAGTGTTTATGCTGCAGGGGCACAGTCGATGAAAAGTCAAGCCTCATGCAGAGGGATTAAAAATAGACTGAAATAGACTATGCTGTAATGTCAGACTAATGCAACCAGAGTTTAATTGATTTGATTAATTCAAAGGAGAATATGCAACAACCAGTGAGACTTTCATAATCAACCCGGTCATAGAAGTAGATGTAATACAGCAGAATTAAAGGGAACAGGCTGTAAAGTTAGAAAGGGAAGAGACTGGCAAGAAATGCAAATTTGTGCTCAGCAGCGGTGCTGGTGAACAAAGGGGTGCAAGGGTGAGAAAAAAATGTTATGTCATAACACCTATTTCCTTAAACCTGAACATCGGCGTTACATAACTTGTAACCTGTGTTAAAACAGAAAAACACCTAAAGCAACCATGTGCATAGAAATCATATTCTCACTCATCATTTTTGCTCCCTTCTGTGGAGGAGTACATTATGTTTCTTCCCCAGCAGGAGCCGGTTTATAAAAACAACAAACAAAATAGTCAGAGACATGAATTTTGAATCTGAAAGGTTGTGGAAATAGAAAAGAGATACATGTGCAGCAGGGGTGGGAAGCACGAGGCACTTCACGATTCGATTTGGATTCAGAGATGCAAATGTTTGATGCATCTTTAGTTTCTCTGTGCAGCTTTTAAAATACTGCATGTTTGTAATGATCCATTACTGAAATAAAGAGATGAATTTATTTCCATTATCTTTCATGAATTTTTTCCCTTTAATGTCATAGAAGCCAAAATGCCTCCAAATGCTAGCTTTTAAGCCAGGGGGTGCTGACTGGATTGTGTCCAACTGCAGCCCTTTTTATACAGCCTGTTCAGTGAGAGTCTGTGAGACAACAAATAGGCTAGTAACAGGGACGCTTGTGGATATAAACCTTCCATAACAATGGCAGACAAATGCGGACCACCTCCAGCTGGTCCAACGGGGAAGTCAGTTGGCAAAAGAAAGAATAAAGCAGAAAAGAAAGAATAAAGCAGAAAAAGAGAGAACTCGATGCTGCAAGAGCCAAAACTCAGGTCAACATCGGCTCTGCTTTCGAGCGATGGCAAAGACTGATAGCTGGTAGCTTCATCCTGAGCTAAAAAGGGACGAGATGGTCACAGAGTTTCTGCTGGACAGGTATTTTTAGTTTGCCTCTAATGTAACGTAGGCTATCGTTAGCCTCTGAAATATTAACTTTATCTTCCTTGTGCATTTCCACTTACTCGTAATGTTAACGCTACTATCTAACGTTAACACTGTAACCTTATTCTAAAAGTCATCAGTCATCACTGACTCCGTTTGAGTTTTAAAACTCCAGGGTTGCGTTTGACTGTCTTGGTTGTAACATTACACTCGCTCTCCTCTTCCATGTATCTAACGTTACCTTGCCAACGCCTACGTCTATCGTAGACATAATGAGGACGTAATGGAGGAGGAGGGTGGGACTTTGGAGGGAGGTGGGAGTTGTGGATGTTCAAATTGTGCTGTGTGAAATGCAAGAAAGGTAAGAGTAGCTTTAAAAAGGGCTTGCGGTTGCTCACATTCAGCCATCCTCACCAAAACTCAAGAAATCACCGAGCTTAGAACATGAACACATCGCTCATTTTAACAAAGTTAAATTCCTTACAGACTAGTCTCAGTTACAGGCGATCATAATGTCAAGGATTTTGGACTTTTCTGCATCAGTACGTATCTTTAGGATGCATGTAAGAATCATTTTTCCCCACCTCTAATATCAGCACAAGTGAAAGTGCCGTAGTATAGCATCATTCTTCTGACGTGTTCAGTGTTGCATTGATCAACAACTGTAGAACTACACAAAGAGGAACATCAATTATTTTTTATTTATCTGCACTTGTTTGCAATATATTGCATATACATGTGTTTGTGTTGTAGTCATCCATGCAAATGGCCGACACCCGCTGCGCCTCAACAGCTTTTATCATGATCCAAATCTTAAATCCCTTGTCGCAGTTGCGTGTACTAATGGCCTTTCTGGATTAACTCCATAACCGCTGCACTGTTTGTCATGGTAATGCGCTGTGAAGTGCTCTGGACCGTCCTTCTTTAACCCCATGATCAGTGACCTGGTTGACATTGTTTTAGCTTCACGCTGCACTTTTGTTTATAACAATAACTTTGTTTGATGTCGATGTTGTGGAATGCAGGAAAACATGAGTCATTTCTATTTTTTGCTACAGAACAATCTTAAGTGCTTCAGGCTTCAGAGTATTAGTCATTATCAAAGAGAGAGACCAGTACATTCACCAGTATAAACCCCTTTACATGTGTAAGTCATACTCTACAACATAAACAACCTAAGTTAATCCCAAGAAGTGCTAAATTTAACATCCATACACTTGAAATAAACAAGTTAAAACAAAGGGCATTTTTTATTGTGGAGCCCAAGTTGTTCTCCCTTTGCCCCGAGTTCAGAATAACTACACTTTCAGCAAGTTCAGCAGTACACAGGCCAAGGTGTGGGTGCTTTGGTGCAGATGAGAGGTCGTGCTGTGAATGCTCTGCAGCCTCTTAATGCCAGAGGAGAAAAAGTCCGCAGTGGAATTAAAGATCGCTGAACACTTTTTGTCCTGTCCTTTCACGTCCGGTTGCATACACGTCAGAAGAGGAAAAGTTTACCATCAGTGATTCAAACAAAGGAACAGGTCACATTTAAAATGTGTAATCAGATGTGAATTCTGGATTTAAAACAGAAAAATATGTCCTTTACAATAATGTAATTGTTATGTAAGGCTTATAATATTCCGTGCTTTGGATTACTTAACAGTCCTATTGGGCACAGGCACAGGGGCCCAGGGTGTAAAGGCTAAAACACACCGGCAGCGTCATATGACAGCGGCATCATTGACGCGAGTCAAGTGCCGCCCCCAACACACACAAACAGCGTCGCGCTGCGGGGCGTCAACCGGATTTCTATTGCACACTCCAGTCCGCTAGGCTGGGAAGTACAAAATAGTGCTTTTTCAAGGGCGGCGACGCTGGAAAAATAGGACAATAGCGTAAAGTACCGCGGCGCAGCGCGTCGGCGCGCGTTGAGACGCCGCTGGTGTGGGTTTGTAAATAGAAAATAATGGGGCGTCTGTTTTGACGTGCGTTGTACGCCACCGGTGTGTTTTGGCCTTAAGGGGGCCTCACCTGCAAAATGTCACTCAACTTAAAGCGCAGTGAAGAGGAAGGAAATTAAAATGGCCGCAAAGAGATGCAAAAGGAATGCAGAGAGACACAAAACAACCAAAAAGATGCATTACGACTACAAAGAAATGTGAAACAACAACATAAAAAGAGGCTAAACAACAATAAGGGGGTGTGGGGGCCTTTTGCACACCTGTGCCGAGGGGCCTATTATCTGAGACACCGCCCCTGGTGCTGAGGAGGGTTTCATTCCATCTAATGTCTTATTTTATGCCTGATTCTGACTTTTAAATACAGAGTTACTCCTGGGGGAGATATACTGCACCCTCCACAGGGAAGCCATTAGATTCCCTACGCTGTGAAAGAAGTATAATTCAAGTGTTAATCTTCTGAATGTGATAACATTTTATCTCTGACTGATAATGGTTTTTGCATCACTGAAGGTTTGATTGAATGCCGAGCGATAACTCAGAGGTCGGGGAGAGGTTGCAGTTTTCACATACAGTGGGAGGTCTCGGTCGAGCAGAATCATAAATCCTTATAGCTGCATACTGTGCATTTTTGTTCTGTATGCTCGGCTGTTTTATATGTCTTAAGTGAATGGATTACTGTTAGAGGAACGTAAGACGTCATCATCTTAAAACTGTGGACATGACTGCCTGTTTCACAACAGTTATTTTTGTACTTTCTTTTTCTTTTTATGTTTTGTACATTTCACTTGATTTACACACTTCTCCCTAATTCTAAAATGGTTTCAGTGATGAGTTGCCTGGTTGCCTCTAATAATGGTTCCCGTACACAATATTAGAACCACATTGATAAGAAGTACAGTATGTAAGTGCTTGATATGGTACAGCATTAATAGCTCCCATTCATTCATTACCATTGTGATTGCTATTGATCCACCAGAAGCTGTTTCAGGGGGCTTTGCAGCTGCAGGTTGCAGGCCTTTATAGAAAATAATATAAACTAACCTCCCGTATGGAATCTCAATGGCTTTGTATGCAGGTTATTGTGATTGATGTGAAGGGACTTAGGTTGAAATCTTTCTTTTTCTATTCTAGTTTTAAAATGAAGGGATAAAAGGGTCGCTGGATGGAGAGGTGTACTGGAATATATCAAAAGGAAGATAAATGCTTTGCTGTTGAGGAGTGTTCGGTCAGCAGAATTTTAGAGTGTGTGTGCTTTGGATGTAACTGAGTTCCACAAGGTTGATTGAATTTCAGATTTTGCTTACCGACCTGCATATATCTACATTTTGTCTTCATTTTTGCAAGTGAAACATCTGTTACGTCAGATTAACCATTAAAGTAAAGGTGGGATGATGCTCTCCCACAGCAGCACCTCCACAGAAACCATAACAGATTAACACTGATTAAAACAAACAATTTAAATTATTTTTCTGTATTTTATCCACTGTTAACTCTGTTTATCACACGTCTCTGTGCTGCTTCTATTTGCATAAACAACTAGGCTTTGAAGCAAGTATAACAGTGTCCATGCCCCCCTACACAATTAGCTGTAGAGGGTGAAGCATTTCATGCCTCAGTAACTTCTTCTCAAGTGTCTCTTTGGTCTCTGGAAACTGAAATGGCAAAAAGATAATGAATACACATTTTGGACTCTGCACACTAACTTGCTTGCACACCTGTGTGTCTTCCAGGAGGCAGTGGGGGAGAATGCAGGAGTCCACGGCACAGGAGAGGACAGGAAGGAAAAGGTGCCCAGCCCACATCTTAGCCAACTGGTGGTCCTCACTAACAGCGGGACTCTTTATGGGCTAGCGCAGAGGGTTGTGGCCACTGAGTCTCTGTAAGTACTCTCGACACAACACTCCAGTTAATGTTATTCCACCTTCAAGGAATACTTCACCCACAAAATGATGATTTGTGTTTCAAATACTCACCCTATGTTATGCTGAACATGTGACGAAAACATTGTTTTTCTAGTGTGCTTCCACAGTCAACTAGAGGCCTGTCCCATTTCTACCCTTTAAATCTTCCACTTGGTATTGAGTGCCCTTGTTTGCAAGATAACGCTTGATGAGGGAAGCGAGGAATATTAGGGTAGAGATCTTTCCCTAAGAAATGGGACACCACTTAATGCAAATTGGCGTGGCTGACGTGCAGGCATACGTCACGCGTAGTAGCGACGCAATGAAAATGCCGGCTCCAGCGCTTGTGTTGTGGCGTGTGCTATGTTTATTCTTCTCCGTCTGATGACTCAACGGAGAAGAAATGCTGAAAACAGGAGGCGCCAACGACATCTTATAGTTCTGATGGATTTTGTTCGGGTAAGTCGATTTGTTTAAATATTTTGATGCTGTGTTCAACCGAGTTGCTGATGAGTTTACACTAGTTTGTACAGCCTACATTCCGATCGTACAGTAACAAATTGTTTTCCAAAACTTGCCAAAGCTGCTGACTTCGCAAGGTGTTCTGGGAAATTTCATCTTCGGCTTCGTTGAAAGTGTGGGTCAGGGCTCCCTTGGAACCTAGGGTGGGTTTTAAGCATTGGAAACCACTTCCACTACCTCAATTCTGTTTTGGGACACTGTTAGCCTAAACGTGAACGTGCACAACCAAGTGCAAGTGGGTATTGGGACAGGCCCTAAGAATCCAAAAAGAAACAGATTTGTTATGATGAATAAGAGTAAAATGGGGACGTTTTTTACAGCAATACTATATCAAAACATCTTTTTACAAACTGTCACGCAACTCCTGCAATATAATCCAGTTTTATCCATTCATGTGTGAGACTGTTTATTGTGGAAGTGTTATTAATGGTAAGGTTTCAATAAAAGTGCACGTGTTTGGAAAGCACTGAGTATACAACTGGATAAATGAGACTTTGGTTATACTTAAGTTGTGTGAGCTTGCAAACAAATGTGTAGGTATAGTTTGGATGTTGTTAAATGCCATCCCCCTTTACTATAATTCATCAAGAATTTTCTCTGTTTTTGGATTCTTCGTTTACCATGGGGGCATGCAGAAAAACAAACAGTTGTCTTTACGGATTCAAGATTACATGCACTCAGTAACTGATATAAAGATAATCTTTTTGTGGGTGAAGTATTCCTTTAAGATGGTCTTTTTTCCTCTGCTATGGAGGAAAGGATTATGTCTGCTAGGCTTGTTTTGCGTCATCACTTGTGTGTTCTGGCGGCGTGATGTAACTCGGCAGTTATGTTCATCAAAGCATTTTCTCTTATCAAGTTAAAGAGGCTGATTCTCACTCGCTGTCTCGCTTCAAGGTGGACATAATTTCATTAGGCAATATCACACAGCCTGGCCACACAAACACACTCCCTACAGTGTGTGTGTCAGTAAAGTTTGTGATATTGACAAGAAGAAGAAAAAGATAGCTGAAGCAGAAAGAAAGACTGAGAGATTTATTTTATTACTCTTATTAGAACTCTTGGTTTTCTTCCTGTAATTTACGATTTGTGTTAAATCTTACAATCAGCGGCTCACTAATTTATTTTTATCCTCTCTCTCTCTCTCCGTGTCTGTAGTTATTCTCCCTCTTTATCTTTGTCTATTATATCCACACACATTACACAAAAGCGCCTCATACATAATTAGGTTAAACTATTGTGAGCGCGACAACTCTTGGACCCTGACAAGTCTGCAGTGTACAAGTGCTTTATAATGAAAGTCTGTAAACCGAGGGCCAGATGACACCGCTGCCCAACTGCTGAATAGGCTTACACTTTCTCACACAAAGTTTTTTATGTATCAGAGGCAGCCAACAAGCTCGGAAGAATAATGAAAGTAAAAGAACCAAAGTGCAGAGGTGAAGTAATTCTTGGGTAAAGTTTGAAAGGGAAAGATCCCCTGGGGAGAAAGGGGTCAGACTTTTTTCTGGGCACAGCTGCACAAAAAGTCTGAAAAGGTGTTATTAAAAAGTCCGACTAACACTAGTGTGTATTGTGAGCACTTCTGACATCTTAAGCGTATGTCTTTTTACACCACGGATAAACCAATGAGGCGTGAGACACCTCTGAGCATAAATTAAATGTAAGAGTTCTGCAAGGTGCTCTTCTCGCTGTCGTTCAGGTATCGTGATCAGATGAGTGTGAAGCGCAGGGTTGTTTTTTCTTTACCCAGACTGCACCATGTTGCAGAGGTAAACACAAGCTGTTCCAGCTAACCTTAATGTGATTTTCTCTGCACCATAAAAAAGATTAAATGTCCACCGTGCTCATTAGCAGCTCGCTGGCTGTGTTTAATATAGTGCTTTCAGATTTAGCAGTAACAAGACAGACTTATTAATATTTATTACTTTTAATAAAAACACTCTGTTGGGGTTACCAGTATTCACTGTCGTGCAGCATCCTTACACCTTGACTTTGCTTTTAAATCGTTCATCCATCCCACCATTTTCATCCACTTATCCCGGGCTGGGTCGCGGGGGCAGCAGGCTGAGCAAAGCACCCCAGACGCTCCTCTCCCCAACAACAATTTCCAGCTCTTCCTGGAGGACCCCAAAGGCATTCACAGGCCAGATGAGATATGTAATCCCTCCAGCGTGTTCTGGGTCTGCCCCAGGGTCTCCTACCAGTGGGACGTGCCGCGGACACCTCCATCTGGAGGCGCCCAGGAGGCATCCTGATCAGATGCCCGAACCACCTCAACTGACCCCTTTCGACACCAAGGAGCAGCGGCTCTACTCCGAGCTCCCTCCAGATGTCCGAGCTCCTTACCATATCTCTAAGGCTGAGCCCAGCCACCCCACGGAGGAAACTCATTACCGCCGCTTGTATCTGTGATTTCATTCTTTCGGTCTCTACCCAGAGCTCATGACCATAGGTGAGGGTTGGGACGTAGATGGACCAGTAAATCGAAAGCTCCCTCTTCACCACAACAGACCAGCACAGCGCTTGCATCACTGCAGAAGTAGCACCAAACCGCCAATCCATCTCAGGCTCCATTCCACCCTCACTCAAGAACAAGACCCCAGGATACTTGAACTCCCTCGCTTGAGGCAGTAACTCTCCCCCAACCCGGAGAGGGCAATCCACCGGCTCAATCCTCCTGCATCCAAAATGTGATGTTTTCAGGTGCAAGAAGACAGTGCTCAGAATCATTTAGAGGGGTTTTGTGTTGATGGCTTGGAGAACATTATTGGTCATTAAATGTGGAGAGAGAAATGTTGAAATAATTAGCTGCTGATAACTCTCTGAAATAATTAAGGTGCAGTGTGTAATACCTGGCCACATGCCCTAAAGAAATAGGGGGCAGCATTTTGCGGGTCTATTACTGGGTCCGTACAATCTCAATTTACAGTCATGAGTGACATTAAAAAAGCCAACCACTAACGAAGAGCAGGGCAAGAATCTGCAAATGTGACCAAACTACTGAAATGTAAAAGAGGCTGTCAAAATAACTGGTATCTTATAATCTTCACGTGGTGTCAGCCTACTCAGGGTTCTATACTAGTGCTCTATGCAGTTGTCCAATCACGTAAAAAAATGAAAAGTGATGTCTAATGTAACGTTGTCTGAAAATAAATTGCGTATTGTATCGCTGAAGTGGAACATTCCCAGTTGAGCTGCATGCAGGTGTCTGTCTCACCACCAAGGCGTTGATGGTTCAGACTGGACGCTATATTGATTCACTATCACGTCTGAAGTTTAAGTGGTATTACAAGACAATCCAAGCCAGGGCTAAGTGGTCAGCATGCTCATTTCCGTAAGGAACAGGAAGACAGATGCTCAGAGTGACAAGGTATTCTGTACCACTGAAAGGAGCGTATGACTCTGAGGATGACATCAAAGTTCAGTTGGCTGCTCAAAAGAGAATTGGGCTCAGAGGGCAGCGCAATATCTGGACGCCCATGTCTTGTTGAGTTGTTTTCTTCTTTGAAATTGCACCATCCAATCATTTGTGTTGTTGTTAACCTGGAACTCTAAAGAAATCACTGTGCATGTCACGCTGTGCTGCAGCAGTCATACTCGTTAAACTCCAGATTCAACCGTGAACTTAAACCTGTTCCCTCCGTTTTGTATTTATTGTATGTTAAAACTTCATAGCCATCAGCCAGTGCGAGTCAGGTCTTCATTCAGTCACAGTGGAATGAGGGGAATTAGTTCTGTCTGCATTGATTTTGTTCTGCCCTGTGTTTCTTTTTCTAGTACTTTGCTATTTTTCAAAGATAATTGAAATCCATTTGTTGTAGAAAGTGTGGTGTGATTTGTTGGACGTACAGTACGTGATACTTTGTCTTGTGAGGTGAGACTGAAAATCAGAGGTGGTTTCCACAAAATGTAGAGTTGAGGTGCTAGAAGATAATTCATGTCATGACAGCACTAGAGTCTGTCCAACGTAACCTGCCCTGAACACATCCACATATCAATAATTAGTGATAAATATAGCACCCCCTACTGACAACAGGAAATAAAGTTTTAGACTTTGATGTATATCTCCTCCAAAGTTGAGTAGATCCACCTCAGACTTGGTAAATTAAGCCATAAGACCTTGATGATACTTTAGAGTTTTCATCGAAGGGCGTGGCCGTGGCCTGGTGGCGAATTTTGATGTTTCGCCATGATGATAAACTTGCTGTAACTTCACTCCACGTGGGCATATCTTTACAAAATTACACACATATGATGACAGTCCCACTCTGAAAACATCTACAGAGGAATTTTTAATCACCACCATAGCGCCACCCACTGGCAACAGAAAGTTACTTTGTTCATTCGTTGATGTCCCTCTTCTATCAGGTTAATCACACCCACCTGAAATTTGCTGATAAAAGTCCTAAGACCTTCATGATATTAGTGCCGGCGTCCTGCCAGCACCTCTGAGTTGTGTGAAGGTGCGAGGGCCCATTCATCGCTGCTTACAGCTTTAATTATTTATTACTTTAGGGGTGCCTAATGTGCTCATTTTCAGGTTCATACTTGTGTTTTGCTGGACCACCTGTATTCATTCTCTGTCTTAGACATTTTAGCGGCTGTCTCTTTATGCCCCCTTCCTGAAAAAGCCCAGTCTGCTGTGATTGGTCAGCGTTCTGCATCTTAATGTCTTTGCACCATCATTTCAGCTGGGGAGTGACTGTAATGGAGTATAGCGACACTTTCTATCATGAAAAATCACCTATAAAAGCTCTAAACCAAAATCTTACCTGGGCTAGTACCAGCAAAAATATGTTACAAAATGAATCATGAAGAAACTTCAGCACCCAAGATTATCTTGTTTCCCTGACATTAGCATTTAGCTACATGTAGCAGTGTATGTAACACAAACACTTGCAGTGGCGTGCCTGGAGCAGATGACCATATAAGGAAATCTGTTTGTTTCAAATGTATAAAAACTTGTTGTGTTACTTTTACAGCTTTGCCACGTTTAATACGAACATCCATCATTGTAGCATTATAGATATGACAGAGAGTAAGGTAAAGCATTATAAGTCCCTTTTAAACTGTTATGGTGGAGACATTTCAATTGCTGCAACAGTGGAGACTTCTGTAGCTGTTTAAATAGTACAACAAGTAATTAAATTGAAAAGTGACTTTTAGGAGAAGTGCAGCATCTGCAGTTTACAGGAAATGTACATTTGTACAGAAAGAGTAGGTTGTGAAAACGAGCATCCTTATTTATCCACGTTATCATTTTAACAGAGGTAACATCTGAAGTTTAGTCTCGAATTGTGAGTCGCTCCAATTTAGCATCAGCTTTTTTTTGTCGATCGGCCTGAAAGTCTTGACGAATACAGAAAGGCAGCACATAGTGCTTGTGTCTTTATCTTTATGTGCCACACCAGAATATTTTCATTATGCCACCACTGCTCCAAATTAAAAGGCTGTCTCTGTTTTGTTTTGTTTTTTTCCTCAGAGTGTTTCTGGCTGAACAGTTTGAATCCCTCCAGTCCCACCTGGACACCATGATGCCTGCAGCCAAGAAGCCCTTTCTGCAGCAGTTTTATTCACAGGTACACTTGCACCTGTTCTCTAAAGGCTGTGTCATTACAGTAATTGTTAATCATGATGTCACTGTCAGCTGCAGGTGAGGTTGTACCAAACATCTGAGTATGGGGATGCAAAACATTTATTTCATTATTTATTTTAATTTCTGATTGTCTGTTAAAATCACAGTTAGTAATTGCTTTATACGTTGTAGTGTTAGCATTGTCTGGTGACTTTACAAGCTTGTCATTTGCCTGCATCTGTGGCTTGGATGGCATAAAAAACTGTTTTCATCTATATAAATCTAATATAATGAACATTTACTCAATCTTATGATGTTAACAGACTGGTCTTTAGACTCATCATGCAGTAAATAAAACATACTGAAACATACGCACAATATCTGTCATTTGATGCGCTCTTAAAAATAAAACACCACTTGCTTTCACTCTGTTTTTATTTTTTATTTTTTTGTAGCCATCACACTTTGGTTTTCTTTAAAAGCCTGTTTCTCCATAGACACAAATTACCATGCAACTGCAACCCAACATTCAGTCAACAAAGGAGAAAATTGTCTGTCACCCAGAACCAGCAGCAGCTCTTCCCTCAGTCGTTTCTCCTTTTTTTTTTGTGCCCACTTGACATTTAAAATGTTCAGGTACACAGACAAGTCTATTTTCCCCAAACATCAAATGAATGTCATGTCATGTCATGATTTCACTCTTGGAAATGTTGTGCAATCTCTGACATTCAAAGCGAAACTGAAGAGACCTTGACTTCATCTCTACTGCACACATAACATACAAAAACATGTTGAATATAACTCACATACATGTATTTCCCTTCCTTCTGTCAGACGGTGTCGACAGCCAGTGAACTTCGGAAACCCATCTACTGGATTGTTGCGGCCAAGGCCATCGACTATGAACAGATGTTGCTCCTGATGGCTGGAGTGAAATGGGACATTAGGGAGATAATGTCGCAGCATAATGTATACGTGGACGTCCTGTTGAAGGTAATGATGCATATGAAATGTATAGGTGACTGAAAATGATGGGAATGAAATCATTAAATCAGCATTTAGTAATTTATTTATTTTTAACACTATGGGAAGGCAAAACACAGTAAACAGCACTGAAATGTGGTCATGTTTTAAAATGTTTATGGCTAATGTGTTGGCAAATATGGATCAATTTACACATCCAGCACATGGGGAGCAACATTAGCACTGATTTGGAGTTATGCCTCTGGCCAGCCAGCCAATGTAAGTCCAATATTCACTCCTCTTCTAGCTCTGTTTCTGGTCTTCCTTAGCCTCTGAGCAAAATATCTGGACCTTTAGCAACTATAGCTCTACTTGATAGGGCTGTAGTCAACCAAAAAATAAATCTTAGTTAAGATTTTTTGTACTCTTCAACCAATGAATTGGACAACGGGGGGGAAAAAAATCACACAGTCGACTAAATCGGCCGTAGTACACTGAGTGCACTTTATGAGTTAGCACTGTGTGTCCACCAATGTTTTTTCCTGAGGCCAACATATTTGAATTCGTCACAGTGGGATCACCACGTATTTACACTATGCCCCAAATACCGCCAAGTGTTGATATGCGTTCAACCTTGGGTAAAACACTTCACTGTCACTTTTTACCCAGCTGTCCAATCACACTGGAGGAGGGGCGGGACAAATACAACAAAGACCAACTGTCATGTTCCACACGTACAAGTGCTGAACAACAACTATTGGCCACATAGACCGGTGGGCCTGTCCTCTTTCTCTGTGTGCTTCAGCCTTTCCTTCATCCAGAGCAAGTACTCTACCTTGTGCTGACATTTTTACATCCACGGATATTTTGTATCGTTGCAGCCAGATGCAACAAAAGCGCCACAGCTGAAAAAACACTGCGCCTCCCAAGTGCTTCTCTCTTCAGAAGAGAGCCTGGCTGTTTCAGCTGGGAATAAACACTTTGGCGAACACACAGCCTTATGAAAGTAAAACCAGTGGTTGTCTCACCAGTGAGACTTTTGTTGGACACGTGCATATCAACAAACTAACTGACTCTGCCATTTTGTGCTCAGCAAATAACGTACAGCCAATTTATCAAGAAGGGTTCCCACCATCATGGAATTCCTGGGTTGGATTCAACAGAATGTTATATGCCACAAAGAGACGAGAGGCCTTGATTTTTTGAAGATATCTGTACGTGCGAGTTCCCGTCAGAAATGTCAGACGAGCAAGTAAAGTCGCTAACCCTGTTTATAAATGTATGTCAGTATGCTGGATAGACCAATTCATCATAAACTACTTAAACAAATTCATGGAAAGTTATGGAAATGTTTTAAAAATTAATTGGTAGACATGTCTAGGAACGTTGATCAGAACTGTTTCAAAGCGAGGTTGATGAGAGCCGAGCAACAGTGAAGTTGCTTCCTGAAAAACCAAAACAATGAGCAGGAGAAACTCTATAACGCTCTGTAAAGCTGAGGGGACCTTGTTACAAGACATGACCCCTTTGATATCACATGTGCTAATGTATCTGTTGTTAATATAAAGATTTTGATTAGTTCAGCTTAAAAGTTTCGAAGTTAAATCCAATTAGTCACAGTGCATTTTTAATCCCAGTTTGTGCTGCATTAAGCTGCTGTTCAAAGACAGGGAGGGAGACTTCATGGAAACATTTCAGCGAGATTATATGCAAACATCTCCCCATTAAGACTGTTGCATCATTTATGCCACCAAGACTCTTTGTCAGCTGAATGTAAATGATGATACCAAGATTACTGGTATCTTGGTGAAGTCTATTTTTTCGGTTCTTGTTTATTTTACATGTGGAAAAACTTCAGAATTGTCCCAGTGCTGTTTCTTTTCCCCAAACAAATACTAACTGTCCACTGCAGCCCTCTCAGTGTCACACACAAGGCAGCTGTAACAGATTTGCTTTTATCCAGCGGGGATTTTCCTCACATAATGTTTTTGTTGTACTTGAGAAATACAATCTCGGTTTATCCTTTAAACATCTGTGTCATTTACACAAAGTAAAACTTTAAGTCAAGAAGCTCTGTGTTGTCCCTCGTAAATTTAAGTTAATTCAGGGACCTTTAATGTTAATTATTTGGATGGGGTGAATAATTTAGTACAAGCTGGGTGAGCTGTGGAATGCAGATCTTTGAAGTAGGGCTGCAACGATTAGTCAACTAATTGATGACTAATGAACTATTATAATAATCTGTGACTATTTTAGTAGTCGACTAATCGGTTTGAGTCATTTTTCATAGAAAAGTACTATAAAAGTACCCCAAAATACTCTTATTGCAGCTTCTTATGTTCATATATTGGCAGCTTTACACACTCTCCCTTGACTGTGAATTAAAACTCTTTGGCGTGAGTATGAAACAAGACATTAGATGATTTAATTTTGGGGTTTGGTTTAGACAGATCAACATTTTTCAACATTTTTTTACATTTTTTGATTAAATGATTAGTTGACTAATCGAAGAAATAATCGACAGATTAGTCAACAATGAAAATAATCGTTAGTTGCAGCCCTACTTTCAGGTTTTAGCTTTGTTAAAGACATCTGAGCTCACCAGTCCCAGATAGTTGTTTTTTTTTTTTGTTTTTTTTTTGGAATTGGGAGTTTTCCTCTAAATGTCTAAATGTGTCTCTTTATGCATGCTGGCCACTATCCCATTATAGTTTTCTCACGTCTGACGTGCAGCGACAGAGAGGTCTGAAGGGCTTGCTGCGGTGTAAAATCCCAAACAGACCAGCACCAACCCAAGACAAATCCCCATATATGCATCAGCATGTCTTACAAAGCTGTGGATTAAAACACAGTTTAAATCACAGATGTTGTTGAGATAGATAAATAAATATACAAACGCTGAGTCACTGTTATTTGCTTATGAAAAAAACAAACTCACCTTTTGAATTCCTGAGTGGCTCACAGATCTTTGTTTGGCTCTGGCAGCTCTGCAGTTAAGTCTGACTAATTAATCTTATGAGCTGAAATGCCTGAAGGGAAAATCTTCATCTCACCAGCCTGCTTTAAATGTCCAACCGTGTCAAAATAGTACAGCTGATGGACTGACATGGTGCGTATTACTACCAGCATGTGCTTTCCCCAGTCAGGTGTTAATAACCCTCTCTACCAACTTGTCAGACACTCATAACGCATGTGGACTCTGTTTTGTGCACTGATAGAAAAGAGTGTGCTACATTCTGTTGTTCTACACGCAGGGGAATATTTTATTCATGAATTCAGGTTGATCACTAGCATTCAACAATAGCACTGATTTGCATATAAAGTGGCAAGAAAATGCAGCAGGCTCAGAATGACTTCATTGACAGACTGCCTAAGTCACAAACTATTGTGGGAGTGTTTGTGAATGAATAACATTTCATTCTTGGCTGCGAAATTAATGGCAAGTGTGCACGCCTTAAAATTCAGCTTCATTTTTTAATGTGACGCAGTTTGAATTAAAGTCAGCACACACATATTTGCAAACACACACCGAAGAAAACCACATACTTCTCCTGAGACACATCCATCCTGTTTATTTACAGACCTTATGTACTGCAATTTGTTCCCTGCAAACAGCAACATAATATCATAATTGTATAATATCATCCATAATTGAACATTTCAGAGTGCAGTGAGGACACGGCAAGTGTTTGGCGTAGTCGAAACCCCTCTTCCTGTGCAGTGTTTATGGCTTCAAACAGCATCAAAACATGGCATGTGTAGCTGTGGGCCACTTGTGACCCAAACTGTCCAGTACAGCTTTGTGTCCTGCAGCCTGCATCCTCCTCTGGGATGTTTTCCACCTTTTTCTTTTTGTTAAAACATAAAAGAGAGAATGTTTGGAGGCCAGTTGTAGCAACATCCTCATGACTTGTGTCATTGTTTTGTCCTTGGGCATGAAAATGATATTTTGTAGGGGGGAAGAAATGGTGAGATAGTACCTGCTGAGGGGATGTAAGTACAAGACTCAAACGACATTTCAAGTGTGTGTTAAATATATAAATTAAAAGAGCCCAAAGGCCCACTGCGGGCTGACTGTAAGTAAAAGCTAGCATGCACATCAAAAAGTTAATGAATGACTCCAGCTGGGATGTTCCCAAACCTGAGCTAATGATTTGTGGCTCGGTGGATTTCTACTTCCTTCCTGTGTCTGCTCTGTACTTCAGGATGTTGTGTTCATCAGTCCAGGCTGTAAAACCATAGCTTAGTTAAAGTACAGTGGTGGTACAATAACCCAGACAATGTGCAATGTGTATTAAATGAATAAAAATTGGCTTTACTTATAAAGTTAGATTGACTAGTCCATACCCATTGGTAGCTTTGTCACCTTCTACCTCATCACCTTTTCAGAGACGGTTGTAGCAATTAGAGGCAGAGGGAGTTGAGACAATCCTCAATGCCTATGTGCAGTTTCACATAGATTGACCACGTCAGTGAGTAGAAAAACGTGGGACAGACAGAATGACACACTGACAGTTTCCGTGATTATGTACAGCATACCATACCATGACTTAGTCATACCAAAAATTAGAAAACTGAAACAACAACATTGGGCAACAGGGGGAGCCACAGCGATCGGTCGCATTTTAGCCATTTTTAAGCATTTTTCTGTTGTTATAGCGCCACCCAGTTGCCAATTAGAGTTAAATTCCTCCAGTCACCTTGAGGCGTCCTGTTCTACATATCTACCAAGTTTAGTAAAAATCAATATGGCGGTTAGGCCTAGATAAGAAATGAGCTCTCTAGCGCCCCCATTTTGTTTGATGGGGTCAATAATGGAGGGGTCCCCTCAGATTATGTGTGGTCATATGCCTACAAAGTTGCGTGGTGATGGGTGAAACCCTTGAGATGTTATACACCTTTATGTGATGAGCCACGCCCTCCTCAATATTCATTGCCTTATAGAAGCTCAGTTTTAGTAAGTTTTCCAACTTTTGCCAAGAGGGAACTTTAGATATTGGTCCCTAGATTATGTTCACTGAGTTTCATGCAGATCGGTCAAACTTCCTAGGAAGAGATTGACTTTAAGTGTTTTTCAAAAAATTCAAAATGACTGAAAATCTATATAATCAGAAGTTATGGGTTCTTGAGGCAAATTTGTTCCTCATGAAGAGAGGCATCTCTGTGCAAAGTTTCATGTCTATACGACATACGGGGCATGAGATATGCCCATTCAAAGTTTGCAATTTCAGTCGGTTGCTATAGCGCCCCCCCTTTGGCCAATTGATGTAATATTGCTTCATTCGCATCCTCCCATGACCCTCTACCACTGTGCCAAATTTCACATGGATTGACCAAGTCAGTGAGGAGAAAAACGTGGAACAGACACACACACAGAGTTTTCGTCATTATATAGTAAGATACAAACCACTGATGCAGTTTATTCCTTGCAGGCTGTAAGTAACTGGATTGTGCAATTCACAGCATGAGGTAGTTTTATAACACTGTTCAGCTTTTCCAGGTCAGGCTTGGGGGAGCTAGTGTTGATGTGTTTGATGTCACCCAGGAACACAGAGTAGCTGAGAGCGAGTCAGAAGAAACACATTCATGTTGTTGTTTATGAAGATTTTTAATGTGCTTAATGTCTTTCAGTTGGGAAACCGCCATTGTATTGGTCCCATGGTGGCTTGTTCCCCTTATAGATGTCTTAGATAGTACAGATGTTTCACCCTAAAGACATCCATCTCTTGAACATAATTTATTTCTTCTACTTTTTTATTATGATACGTGTTCACCTGTGCCTTCTCCTCTTCCTCCCCAGGAGTTTGAGCAATTCAACAAGAGGCTGGGGGATGTTTCCAGACATGTGCGCATCCCACTGCCTGTGTCCAACGTCCTGTGGGAGCACTGCATCCGCCTGGCCAACAGGACTCTTGTGGAAGGGTAAGGAAGTCATAAAACATCTCCTCAGCGTCAAGAGCATGTGTGCAGTCTGGTGAAGTTGCGCCCAAAGCCAAAACACAGTTTCATCAAACGGTGAGGGTGTCAATTTGGACAACAAAGGATTGAATTTGCTCCATGTGTGCATCAATACTGATATTCAATATCTGGTGAAAAGACAATCGACTCATCACCCTTTCAGAGACGGTTGTAGCAATTAGAGGCAGAGGGAGTTGAGACAAGTCAGGTTGCAGTTCCTGTAACGTTACCTGAGCATGATGGACTTCTCTGTGCACTGTGTGGATTTCTATTTATTCTCGCTAAGAGCACTTGAAGAATAAAAGAACAAGTGCAGACTGCAGTTCGTCCCTGGGCTGATTTTGTAACACCAGGCTTTCCCACACACGTAACATCACTCTCTTTATCTACAAAAACCTGCATATCCAAGTTTGAATATGGCTTTTGTCATCTACCCAACAAATGTAAGGAGCAAACGTTCCAAAAGTTAAATGTACTTAAAACATCCTACATACTAAAAATTCACTTTCACTAAATTCCTACCCAAGTGACTTTTACCTGTGCAGATATTGGATTAATGCCGGTCTGGCAGCAGTTCTTACCTGATTAAATGCATGTATTCATAAATATAAAGCTGTTAAGCCGCTGTATTGATAGCTGTTATCGATAGTTTGTCAGTTTGTGAACGCCTCTGTCAGCAGGAAGGTGTGTATCAAATATTTATTTAGGAAATCTCAGCAGCTATTCAGGTTGAAAAGAGACTACACTGCAGGGAGAAAAGAAGTGTGCACAAAACACAAAGCTTTCTCAATCCACATTTTAGCACCATGAATTATTCAGAGCAGTAATGTAACCGGGCTAAGTACAGAGCAGACCCATGGAATAGTGTTTTTTGGGGTTTTTTACAACCATTGGGAGTTTTAAGACTGGTGTCTTGTTTTGACAGCCTTTTTGCTTGAAAAGGTATCTTACTTTCAGGTAAGAGTCATGAATAGTGTCCCCAGACCAAACCGCATTCATGAGTTATTGCATCCCAGAGATTTAAAGCCCCCCACTCTCATTTATTGGGTCTTGACAGGAAACCCTACAGAGATAATGATTGAGGAGATGTGGAATTTTTCTCTCCTCTTTCTTTAATTCTCTGTATGAACATCTGCACATCATAAATTAAATAAAAAAAGTATTTCCAAAGCATGTTGTCAAGCACCATGAAGAGACGAGCAAATTACCTACAGTACATAAGAAACCGGGAGACGCTGTTGCCAAGTTCCTTTGGAGTAAACCCCCGAATGAAAACCATTAATTTCCCACCGCCTTCTTCTCTCTTTGTGCTGGCATCCCTCTGTGCCAGTCACATCTCTCCATCGGGGAATTGCATGACACAGGCCAGTCACAGGAACCGTAAAACGCTCTTGACACATCCCTTTTAATGCATTTCACCACTTTCTCCCTTGCAAGCGAGACATATGGGTTGTGACAGGTGACAGAACATCAGAGCGTGTTTTTTCCTTAACACCTGCATCCCAGCCGTGTGTGTGTGTGTGTGTGTGTGTGTGTGTGTGTGTGTGTGTGTGCGTGTGTGTGTGTGTGTGTGTGTGTGTGTCGGGTGGATGTGCGAAGTAGGTTTTTAGATTGAAGGTGTGATAAACCCCCTCTGACTGGATTCACAGCAACACTGAGTCACACCGACTGCATGGTGACAAAGCAACTCGCTAACAGCTGACTATTATCATGAGGTTACACACATTTTATTGGGAACAAGAAATTGGCTGCTGTCAAAGCCAAAGTCATTCTGAGCTGCTAATTTGCGCAGGTTACAGTGAACGTGTCGGCTGGGTTGTAACAGCGAGCGCAGAAAATGATTCAGGTTAAAAACAAATGCTTGTTAAGTGGTTTGATGCTTACAAAGTCTTTAAAGAAGAAGAGAGAACATTGGACATTAAGCATCAGTAGAAGGCTCGCCCTCACTAACTGAAAGAAGGGAACATGTTTACCTCCCGACACATTCGCTGAGCACTTTTCTTCCCATTGCGTAAGAGAACTTTTGAACCCTTTCCAGTGAACAAATAGCCCGTAACGACTGGGATGCTCTGCAAATTTAAGCTGCTTTTGCAGACTTCTGCCGTCTGCCTGGGTCTACCGGTACACTCCTTTCACACACACATAAACACACACACACATATCCCTCCCCATCCCTCTGGCACACCAAGGTGGAGTGGTCAGCTTTGTTTGTTTGTACTCCCGCTCGCTCAGCCTGTTATTCAATTTCTCTGTCCAGCGCTCGTCTCCCTTTAGACACACAAAAATGGCTCCGTTAGCATTCTGATCCAAAGCTCAAAGACTCAGCGGCAAACTCTGGCAGGCCTGACAGGCAAAAGAGAGAGTGGATGACAGCGAGAGGTGATGAGAGAGAGAGAGAGAGAGAGAGGGGGGGGCAGAAAATGGAAGCAGAAGAGAGAAAACTGAAGTGTGAGACGGGGAGAGAGCAGACCTGTCTGTGTGGTGTGTTAATGTACTGTAGATGTCACAGACACTGACCTGCCAGTGGACAACGGTGCCCGCTGCCAACACAAACAGAAACACACACACACACACACACACACACACACACACACAAAAATACATGAGTAGTCTGGCCCACACACTGGTTTTCTGACGCAGCACAGACAGCTGTGTGGACCAGCCTGACTTCATATTGAATAGAGGACACATACAGACACATGCACACACATCATGACGCGTGTATGAGTTGATCCTGTCATAAACATACAACACTCGTGTCCAAATATTCACAATGCAAGACTAGAGTAAGAGAAGAAAACCAAACCAAAATTACAGATCGATTCCAACTAATGCAAGAACAGAAAATATATAGAAGTTGTCAAGTTCTTCATCTGTGCGAGATTACAGACTTCTAATAATAAAAAGTTTTAAAACTAGCTTTTAAAAACTCAAATGGATTCTGAGAGTTCCCCATCATCTTGTAACTTAACTTACTACACATCCCTTCGTTTATTTTGCTGCTGGAGCTTTGACATTATTTCCATTTTGATTTAAATGCTGATAGAAATTGAGATATGAGGAGGCGAAATACATCTTCCAGACAATTTTTTAATGCATAACAAATTCACAGTACCGAGCTAAAGTACAAAGTTAAAGCCTTCCTTAAAGGGACAGTTTGCACCAAAATCAAAAGTAAACACATTTTCCTCCCTGTGGTGCTAGATATTAGGTTGTTTTGGTGTGAGTTGCTGAGTGTTGGAGACGTCCTCTCTCGGCTTGTGGTGCTCAAAGCACCAAACGAATATATTTAAAGAACTCAACAGCGATGTCTCTCCAGAAATCATGACCTAGTTACTCAAAATAATCCACAGACCTCATTGTGTGCACTTTTCGGACAGATTTGGCATAAGTTAGTGCATTCAAATGGGAAAAATTCCCCCTCAGCCAGACACGTGACTAACGTGCGACGACTTTCAGGAATCAAAATAATGATGTCACAGACTGTTCTTGCTCTCCAGTCATTGTTTACCTCCACCCGAATACTTGATGCCATGCTAATCTCCTCTTTCCCCCTCTGTTGCAGTTATGCTAATGTAAAGAAATGCAGCAATGAGGGCCGGGCCCTGATGCAGCTGGATTTCCAACAGTTCCTCATGAAGCTGGAGAAGCTGACTGACCTGCGGCCCATCCCGGATAAAGAGTTCGTGGAGACCTACATCAAGGCCTATTACCTGACAGAGAATGACATGGAGCAGTTTATCAAGAACCACAGGGTGAGATGGGGAAGATGGAGTTTAAAGAGACAATAACACAGCAATAAAATGAAGGAGTCAGGTTAGAAATTACAAAATGAAAAGTGACACAAGGTTCTCCAGATGTGGGGGAGGAAGGGACAAAGTGGTTGTGCCAAATAAGAGAAACCAATATATCAAAACTAAGCCTCGACTTATTTTTACCTCTAAAACAAAACACAAACCAAAAACCTAACTTTCTGATCTAAAAAAAAAGAGACCTTCCCCAAACAAATACAGTACAGGCCAAAAGTTTGGACACACCTTCTCATTCAATGCGTTTTCTTTATTTTCATGACTATTTACATTGTAGATTCTCACTGAAGGCATCAAAACTATGAATGAACACATGTGGAGTTATGTACTTAACAAAAAAAGGTGAAATAACTGAAAACATGTTTTATATTCTAGTTTCTTCAAAATAGCCACCCTTTGCTCTGATTACTGCTTTGCACACTCTTGGCATTCTCTCCATGAGCTTCAAGAGGTAGTCACCTGAAATGGTTTCCACTTCACAGGTGTGCCTTATCAGGGTTAATTAGTGGAATTTCTTGCTTTATCAATGGGGTTGGGACCATCAGTTGTGTTGTGCAGAAGTCAGGTTAATACACAGCCGACAGCCCTATTGGACAACTGTTAAAATTCATATTATGGCAAGAACCAATCAGCTAACTAAAGAAAAACGAGTGGCCATCATTACTTTAAGAAATGAAGGTCAGTCAGTCCGGAAAATTGCAAAAACTTTAAATGTGTCCCCAAGTGGAGTCGCAAAAACCATCAAGCGCTACAACGAAACTGGCACACATGAGGACCGACCCAGGAAAGGAAGACCAAGAGTCACCTCTGCTTCTGAGGATAAGTTCATCCGAGTCACCAGCCTCAGAAATCGCAAGTTAACAGCAGCTCAGATCAGAGACCAGATGAATGCCACACAGAGTTCTAGCAGCAGACCCATCTCTAGAACAACTGTTAAGAGGAGACTGCGCCAATCAGGCCTTCATGGTCAAATAGCTGCTAGGAAACCACTGCTAAGGAGAGGCAACAAGCAGAAGAGATTTGTTTGGGCCAAGAAACACAAGGAATGGACATTAGACCAGTGGAAATCTGTGCTTTGGTCTGATGAGTCCAAATTTGAGATCTTTGGTTCCAACCGCCGTGTCTTTGTGAGACGCAGAAAAGGTGAACGGATGGATTCCACATGCCTGGTTCCCACTGTGAAGCATGGAGGAGGAGGTGTGATGGTGTGGGGGTGTTTTGCTGGTGACACTGTTGGGGATTTATTCAAAATTGAAGGCACACTGAACCAGCATGGCTACCACAGCATCCTGCAGCGACATGCCATCCCATCCGGTTTGCGTTTAGTTGGACGATCATTTATTTTTCAACAGGACAATGACCCCAAACACACCTCCAGGCTGTGTAAGGGCTATTTGACCAAGAAGGAGAGTGATGGAGTGCTGCGGCAGATGACCTGGCCTCCACAGTCACCGGACCTGAACCCAATCGAGATGGTTTGGGGTGAGCTGGACCGCAGAGTGAAGGCAAAGGGGCCAACAAGTGCTAAACACCTCTGGGAACTCCTTCAAGACTGTTGGAAAACCATTTCAGGTGACTACCTCTTGAAGCTCATGGAGAGAATGCCAAGAGTGTGCAAAGCAGTAATCAGAGCAAAGGGTGGCTATTTTGAAGAAACTAGAATATAAAACATGTTTTCAGTTATTTCACCTTTTTTTGTTAAGTACATAACTCCACATGTGTTCATTCATAGTTTTGATGCCTTCAGTGAGAATCTACAATGTAAATAGTCATGAAAATAAAGAAAACGCATTGAATGAGAAGGTGTGTCCAAACTTTTGGCCTGTACTGTACATGGGTGGCACCAACAACCAATACACCAAGTGTTTCTACACACAAAATAACTGCGTGTCCCAAACCTCCCGCCACATACTTTTACACAACAGAGCAGCAGCAGCCCAGTCACTCTCAGGGTTCATCCCAAAGCCTGATCTCACTTTCACATTTCCCTCACTTGCGTCTCTTCCTCGCGTCTTAGCTTCGCGAGGAGAGAAGAAACGTGGAAATATGTCTCTAGAGAAATGAGATGTCTTTTCCTCTGAAGTGTCACACAAAGCGACGTCCGTATGTGATGACGGCGGCAGCTGATCACAGCTGGATCAACTATCAGGAGGCTCTGTAGGCTTTATTAAAACAAAGTTAACTCATCAACCTGACTCTCTGACTTTGATTGTATACATATTAAAAGTTGAGGAGGGAAATAGCAGATGAAGAACACAAATGAAGAACGTCATTTGTGCTCCTGTTTTTGGTCAGATTTTTAACTAGATGGCAAATTAGAGAACAAATAAAATATAAAACTTGGCAGTGATACACTCCAGCGTATCAGTCCGATCCAATCAATAAGTGATATCCAATCAAGGGGTGTGTTGGTCTGTAAAAGACTTTGCGAAGGCTGCGCTCGTGTGTCCTCGCTTCCCACTCCTCTGAAAGCCTCCTCTCTCCTCGACTCTTCCGAGCGCATTTAACGAACGTCCTTCAAGATGGATGGATCCAGGTCAAGTGATCGAGGATAGAGGAGTCGAGGAGTCGAGGAGGGTTATTGGGATGAACCCATAGAGAAAAACAGGGAGGAAGAAAAGGAAGGAAGCAAGGAAGTTGTGCTGACTCACTCTTTGTGTTTCTGTGCAGGAATACTCCATGAAGCAGCTCGCCAACTTGGTGAACGTTTGTTTGGGTTCGCATATAAACAAGAAGGCTCGTCAGAAACTCCTGGCGGCCATCGATGACATTGACAGACCCAAGAGATAGGTCGACGAACGGGGCAGACTCTGAACGTATCAAGCAGCCACAGAGACGGACACTCCAAACAGAGGAACTTCGGCAGTGGAGCTCCACTTAGAATGTCTTCATTTACAGTTTAAAGCGTTCATGTTGTGGTGTGTTCGACGAGCTGTACAGCACATGCAGTCGTAGAGCTACTGTGTGCAGCGAAAAAGCTCCAATGTTATCCAAATGCTAATTATCTGTTAGTGTACAGCTCTGATGTGGTCAAAAACATATAGTATCTCATGATATTCTGATTAACATAACTACTAACACTTTCACTCTCAAGCATGCTGCAGTTACTCTCTGCATTACAGTAGATGTCCCATAACGCATGCCCTCGCATTTCCATTTAACAAACATGCCGCTTATGAAATTTTCCTGCAAATTGTCCGCAGTCAGTCATCTCGATCTCGTCAATGACCGTGAGGAGCAGATCTTGACTTCCACGTAAGCTACAAGTACAGGATCTAACAGTGTAACGTGAAGTGTAGCTTGGCCATGTGGTCGTGTTTCGCGATCCATCTGTTTTCACCAAATGTGCTCATTTTCCGATATGACTGCGACCTTGAGATTACACGTGATTTATTAGTTGCTTTTGTTTGCAATGTTGTAAAGTTTTGTGGTTAAAACGTCCTAATTATAGATCCAAGAAGCGTCCTTAGTGGTTCTAAACCTCCATTATCTGAATGCTCCCCCCTGAGATACAGTGGATCTGGGTTGTTGTTCATTTTAATCATTCATTGTGAATTGTTCCAGCAGCCCATATGTTTGCTGTATGATTTCACTTCAGGGTCTTTGTTGTGCCTGACTAGTTTCTTTGTTTTGTTTATTTGTTCACGAATTACATAAATCTAATATATGATGATTCTGAAAATAATATAAATTGCCGTAGTTAGCGTTACTATAGAGTATGTCTGCACTAGCCGCGCTCCTGTCTGTCTTTTATCATGTCTGAGGAGGAGTTTTTGAGCCAGTCTTTGATTTCAGTCTGACTTTCTTGCTTTGTAGGTTTTTTCAGGCACTGATTGTGTTATTTCTGTCAACTACAAACGCTTTCCTCCAAAGCTTTAGATTCATATACTGTCAGAAAGACAGGGAGGGGACAGGAAGTTACAGTTTTTGATATGGCTTCAAATTTTGTGCGCAACTATTCCAAGAAGAATTCTGTAAATGTGAATGTTTTGAACAATGTCTGTATTTATTTCTCGCTTTGTGTCTCGTTTGGGTTTTTATATGATAACTGCTGGAAGTGTGCTCGTCATTTATCACCTCTCAGTATCTTGTAACTTATCAAATGAAAACAAATATTTTAAAAATTGTCAAATTTTGTTGGGGGTCAAGTGCACTATAGTGAAAAAAAATCAGTAATCGGTGTTGGAAGTGTAGGTTGAACCAAAATGATTCTAACATAATAAACACACTAACAATGGCCTCTGTTATTCTTTCCCACTTCATCCTCACAGTGCAACTGCATAATCTATAAATCACATCCAACCTTTAAAATCTCTGTGTTCAGCAGTTTGAATGGAGTTGTTGTCAATGGTCATCAGAATATGAGTGTTGTCTTCCAGCAGCGCTGCTGTCCATCCTAATGATGCTTTACTCAGCCAGGAGCACAACGCTGTCAGATTAATTGATGCGGCTTCCTATGCGGGTACAAGCCCTCCGTCTTCCTGTTTAGGGGGAGCCTGCTGATCAGGTTGGACTGAACGAGCTGTGAAGGACTCATAACTTTGATGATTCACTGTTTTTATGCCTCCATGCTGGCAATAGCTTTGGCAAGAGGCATTTTGTTTTCCAGTTGTCCGTCTGTCCATTTCTTTATGGTGAATGTGATACGTCAAGAAGCTCTGGAGAGGATTTCCTCAGAGTCAGCACAAACGTCCACTTGGACTCCAGAATGAACTGATCTTGGGCACCCATCTTGAAACTATGGTGATTGTATAGATCTCCTGTGCTGCCAGCTTTAAGATGTGTGTGAAGCATCCATGTTTTAGAGTTCAACTCTATTCAGGAATGTTTTCGCAAATTCCCATGGGATGGTACATCGTATGAAATTTTCACCAATGATTGGAAGCTGTGTGCAAATGGTGCTCAAGAAATATAAAGCCAATAGGCCAGATGGGGGCGCTATAATTTAGGTCAAAGAATTTGACACATATGTTCAGGTGAACGAGTTCTATGAGAGACTCAAAAAAAACGTAATTTCAGCCTGACTAGATTGTCAGCCATATTGAATTTTTGAAAATCACATTTTTGACATCTCCTCCCAAGGTGTGGGTCCGGTTTGTACCAAAGTTGCTGTTGATAATTATGGGATGGAGCTCTGCAAAAGTTAATAGCTTTTGGATATGTCATTGTATTTTGATGATACTGACCAATGAATTTTAGAGAGGGCGTGGCTCAGCACATTAATGGATTTGCATTGGAACTATCACCACAAAACTTGCAGGAAATGTCAACACAAGTACCTGAATCATACCCTGAAAGTTTGATTCAAATCGACCAATAGGGGGCGCTACACATGCAAAAAGTTGAGATCTCATAATCAGCCAGAGATATTTGTACGAAACTTGGTTTGCATCATCTAGGGTCATGTCTCAGTCAATGCACAAATCTGAAAATGATTGCTTAAAGGGGGCGTGGCTTATTACATTAAAACTAAATTTCAAGACATTTCACATTCTATACTTCAAAAAATCAGAATAAATCGCCAGTGTGTCCTGCAGAGCTGAAATTGTTCAGCTCGTCCACTGAGTTGTGACAAAAGTTTGCCGTGCTGCAACCTATAGTCGATTCAGAAGTCCGTCACTCTATATTTTTAAGAATATGCAAAATTAATTAACATCTATATCTCCAAAAGTCGTCATGTAAATGCAACCACCCTTTGACATAGATAGTCTTTGGATGTTAATTGTCACATGTTTCAAATGGTGTTGAGATCGTGTTTAAAGGTTAGCTCACAGTGATATTCATTATCTTGTAACATTTTCAATTTCATCTCATTTTTAACCAAATGTCACCAAAATATTTGATAATATGTCTGAAATCAGCGGAATGATGTGCGTTTTTTTTTTCAGAACTCTATCACCAACGCTTTAACTGTTATTGATACCTCATTACGTTTTGACCAATGAATGTTAAAGGGGGCGTGGTTTAGCACATAACTTCACAACCTTTGGGCCAATCATCACAAACCTTGCAAGCAATCTCTGAAGCGGTACCAGGAACCTATCCTGAAAGTTTCATTCAAATTGACCACTAGGGGGCACCACAGATGCAAAAAAATGGGCTTGGGATAATGCAAATCAGATTCTAAATCAGAAATTGATTGTCCAATTGTTACAAAACTTGCAGGATGTGTTAAATAATAATGATGAACCATGTGTTTTGAATTCTTTTGAAATCAGTCAATCTGGCTATAAATCAATGAGGGTTTGCTCAAACATCAACAAACTCAGTGTACTTTTTTAATGAAGCCATTATAGCATGTCCCCAAAATGTTTCTCCAGTTGACTAATCGGAAGCGACAGTTTCCAAAGAAGAGCGTGGCCTGGTAGAGATTTGGACGTAAATGAACGAGCATGTGTCTGATTGTCATAAAACCTGTTGTTCATCTTTAACACAGGTGTCCTAAACTTTCAAGGGTCTTGATCTTACCCAGTTTTCAACTTCCATGCTGGCTTGAACCCCAGAATAGCTGCTTGTGTCCATATTCCTATATTTAATATGGTGAACTTAAGATTCTGTGTTTTTGCAGTTTGTGTGGCAGTATTCGATAATTTCCCCCTTATGTGTCACCTTTTCTTGCAGCGCTGTCCTTATATACACTTAATTCACGACCTACCCGACACTGCTGCTCCTACTGTCCTTTCGCAACACATTTGGGTGCCCAGCTGGATCGTTCCCCTCCTGTGATGCTGTGGCCCAGATACCCTTTCAGATAAAAGACCAGGCACTCTTTGCGTCTGCATTTTTGCCACTCTGCCAAATTACATGAGCCAAGCTCATAGAAATCACTATCACTGACCTACATGGCCTCTATTCCCCCACTGCCTGCTGATGTGCAATCACACAGACTCCATTCATGTCTAATTAAAGAAACTAAGAACAATTGCTGGCAAAGCCTGTTAGTAATGTTTAATTTGCACAATGATTGACAAGACAAGCTGTGACAGTGGAGCAGGAGAGAGTGAAAGTAAATGTGGCAACCAGAGGAGATGTTGATGAGAAATGCTGGTTGTACATGAAAGAGAAAGTTGTTACACGATCAGAGAGATAACATGCTGACAATATTTAGATAATGACTTTTCCAGAAAAGTTCTGTAGCACAGTAAAAGCTGCTTTTTATCAACAGTGGTCATCTGTGGAAATATATTTTCTCAGGAATGGGATAGTCTCTGATCACTTGTCTTTGAATCTTGAGCTTTGAAATATTGATTAAAAATCTCCTGATCTCTCCTTAATTCACTCATAACCAAAGTTGATAGTGCATTACAAAGTTGTTTTTTATTTTTATCATTATTATTATTAAAGGAAAAAAAAGTTTGTTCTGCTTGTTTCAGTGGTACGCAGGGAGTCTGCAGAGTCATCAAAGTCAATATAAAGACAGATTAAAGCTGGAACTACTCCTGACATATTATGTGCAACAAAACTAATAGAGGAGGTCAAGCGTGGTCCACATAGACACACATGGTCGCAGAAAAAATAGTGATGCCAAGGGCCACTGTTGGCCATTTGGGTGCCATGAGCACAATTGCTTTGTTGTTGGGAGTGTGATCTTCAAACTGTAGATGTTTTGACTAACAATGTTATAAGAAACCAGAACTATACAACAAGAACAAGCAAACACACACACAGACATATTAATTTTTATTAATTCATTATATGACAGCTTCTCAGCTCGTGCTGCAGCTGCGATGTCTTCACTGAACCATCGGCAGTGCAGCTCAAACCGTGTTGTGTCTGAGCCTTAACTGGGAGAGTGAATGCAATACCTATAATAATGATTGATGATGATCATATTGGGCTGTTTTAGTGCCCCCTCCTGCACTGGTGCCCTAAGCGTGTGCTGCGTGTGCCCTCAGTGCCTCCGGGCTGCTGGCTGCAGACACCACCATGGACATCCTCACACCATCTTCAGCAGCTGTGAGGTGTGATGACCTCAACCAAGGGACGGTTTCTTTTAAAACGTTTTGAAGCATCTCATGTACTCAGAGTAGCTGGATAATATGCGTGTGGATGTTTTCCAATATCAAGTCTCTGTTTAGTGGCGGCGCGGTGGTGTAGTGGTTAGCACTTGCCTCACAGCAAGAGGGCTCTGTGCTCCCACCCAGGAGGAGCACAGAAGGGGTTTTCTCCAGCTTCCTCCCACAGTCCAAAGACATGCAGGTTAATTGGTGACTCTAAATTGTCCGTAGGTGTGAATGTGAGTGTGAATCGTTGTCTGTCTCTATGTGTCAGCCCTGTGATAGTCTGGTGACCTGTCCAGGGTGTATCCCGCCTCTCATCCCAATGTCAGCTGGGATAGACTCCAGCGACCCCCAAGATGATGGGCGGTTATGGAAATGAATGAATGAAGTCTCTGTTTAATGATGTAACGAGACGATGTGATTTACAGTAGCCAGATTTAGTGCAAAATCTCTCAAGATTTATGAGCTAGTGGATATAACATAAAACTGTCAGTAAGACACACATTTTTTGCTAAATGCTAACGTGCTCATGGTGGATCCCCAGCCGTGACTCCTGTGTTCATGTCACAGGGTGTGACTGTACCCAAATGCAGCGCTCAGAGAGGCAGGCAGACAGTTGGTAATGACCTTTATTGTTTACACAGATATGCAACAGTTCTGGGGTCTTGGGTTTGGCTTGCTTGTAGTTCCAGCAGTGAGTGAATGAGACAAGAGCAGGCAGTCTGAGAGCTGTGGACTACCATAAGTTCAGGTGGGTCTCTGGTGAGGCTGGTAGTGGGGTGAAGATTGACTTAGCTAGCCGAATCAGGAGAGCTGAGGTTAGGAGGTCGGGAATCGGAGTCGGAGACAGAAGGCTGAGGTGATTACCAGGGCAGAGACGACAGAGGCAGGTCATGAACAGTCAGGGTCGGTACTGGGAAAACAAGCCAAGAGTGAGTGCTGGAGTGTCTTGCATGAAGTCAAAGAACAATCTGGCTGATGAGCTGCAGCTGTGGAGGCAGGTGAGAGGAGTTGTCTTGATGGGAGGGGCGTGGCTAGCAGGGTGCAGGTGAATGGAAATGGAACTTTTTCACAGCAGACATTTTGAGAGGCCGTTTACATGTACACGGTGATTTTGATAAATGGAGACATCTTCCTTCGTTTGTGCCCTTCGTTTACACGCAAACGGAGATTTCTTTTTCTCTCTTTGCATGTAAACTGAGATAAACGGAAATAAACGGAGTTATAGGCAGCCGACG